CTGCTTGCCACGCCCCGTGGGTCCCGCCCTGGCTGCCCCTGCAGAGGATGCCACCCAGCTTCTTCATTTCTTTCCAAACGGGTTTGACGTGGGGTTTTACAAACACACGAGAGGTGGCCGGGGTGAGTGTCCGACTCCCTGAGCCCTCCAATTCCAGCAACACCTTCAAACACATACTGGCCTGAGCCCCCGCAGACAGTGGGTCTGGGGCGGGGGGCGGGTGATGGATCGGGCCATTAGTGAGAAGGACCCTGGGGGAGAGAGGCATGGAGAGGGTGGTATTAGGATGGGGAGGGAAGGAAACCCAGAGGGGTTTCTGGGGCCCAGAAAAGGCATTCATCAAGAGGGGGCGGGGGTGGGGGAAGGGGCCTGCCATTGAGGAGGGGGTCTGAAGTCAGCGGAGTGTTGGGGTGGGGAGGGGGAGATGGGGAATCATAGCTGGAGGGCATGAAGGACCAGGCTTCCCAGCCTGGGCCGCCTCTGCTCTGTACACTCATTCCCATTGGTGTTGGTCGCAGCTTGGCCAGGTGAGGGGTAGGTAGCCCCGGCTGTGTGAGCTGGGAGAGACTGTTCTTGACCACTGCAATGACGAGGACAGGCGTTCTTTAAGATGGAGAGGCCAGCCACATAGCCACAAACGTGCAGAATCGTGCAGAATCCCACAGGAACGCACGTATGTATGTCTGGGCAAGGGCTGTGTACTGAAAAACCGGCCCCGCGTTGGAAACACCACGAGAAGGTTCAGTGTGCAAGAGCCTGGCCCAAGAGGACGCCCCCTGATGAAGCACCAGTCTCTGTCCACAGGTGATGGAAGCCCGTGGTCTCCTCCCTCCCCCTGGGTTGCCGAGAGTGTTTCAGGGGGATTTGCAGGCTGAACCGGGTCTTTAGTGCAGCCTGAGAGCTGGCAGTAGATTGACAGCCGAAGGGCTTGCCTTGTGTTAAACTGCAGACACCGCTCAATTCAGGGCAAGAGCAATGCTCTGTCCCCTTAACAGTAACTGTATCCTAACCGCTGCGAC